CTAATAGTTTGTCTCGTCGTGTATTAGTATATATATATATATATATATATATATATATATGAAGTTCAACGTATCTGTATTTGAAGTTATATTACTACCTTATCGAAATCAGTTGTCGAAAAATAATAATCCTTCTTAGGATAAAGAACACAAGATTATCTTTCGTTCCGCATTAATATTGTATTTAAATTGTTTGCTACTTTATAGTACTAATAATAATTGTGGTTCAGTTAAAGAACATAGGACTATTTTTCGTTGCGCAATACTACTGATTTTAAATTATTTGATACTTTATTCTAAAATGAATATTTATGTTAGAGAACACAGAGATGTAACGCAGTGCTAGTACTTAGCAATACTCCAAATGATCATAAACATGTTGAAACTATCAGTTGGGTTAATTATTGACCATTTCCATTCTATTTATTTTAGAAGGGTCGTTTAATCCTTTCAAATTATATCAATTATATCGTTGTAAACTTATCCAGTATTTTCAGATTTTGGAATAAAAGTTCTTTTTTTGCTTACACCAATGATAAAATTACGAGATTTTTTATCTGAATTAGCTTTCTCCTTATCAGCGCTGATGTAAAGCCGCCGGAATAAAAATTAAAGCTTATAGGTTGATCATCCAATGTAAAGAATGCTAGTACCTATCAGAATGTTTAAAGGGCTGTCACATACACGCTATATCTAGAAACTGTTAAACTAATACGGTTCTTACTGAAACGAACTCTTTCATTTTCTTAATTAGCTCAGGCTTGTGAGCGTAAAAATCACACCAAGCTATAAAACTTATGTCACGAAACATTTCGTTCTAAAAATTGCAAAAGCTATTAATATATGTAACTTTGAGAAGTCCTCCCTCTATAAACGCCCACGTCGCTTCTCATAACTTAATTATTTTAATCGTGGCTATGCACATATTGTTTCACACTTTGAAAGCCTCAGTTCTCAATACTAAACTGCCGGAAGTCTATTACGTTTTGATGGCTTTATTTTTATTTCAATGTGAGACGCAAATAATTTTATTTGTAAGTCTAATACAAAATGTCATATGCATCATTCTATATTTGATAAAGTTGCGCTCCTGGTGTTCGAAACGCACGTGAAAAAACGCCGAAATTATTCAACAGAAACGGTTATTACACTAGCTAAGAGCATGAAAGCTAATAAAACTTCCTTTCCTACTCACCTCATAATTTTAGTGCTTGGTAAATAAATATAATATGCTTTTGTTCCCCTGTGACAAAAACAAAAAATTGGAATTCGCGTGCTATGAAAATAAAAAAAAGGTCACAAACTAAAAAAGAATTAAACAATTATTCAGCCGGAACAGCTATGATAAGCTTCCTCGTGGATTATTTTTTGAAAAATTTGGCGTTTACGTAGGTGGTTAGACAAGATGACTAACACACGTACGTATTTTTTTACGAAACGCACATAGCTCAAGCTACAAAAATATGAAATACAATTTATGTATTCTGTAACATTGATAAAAAATTATTATAAAGCTTTAGGTGAGGGCTTTTGAATGACATGGAAGAAATTTTATTCGTTTGCACCTTTTTTAGGGTATAATACACTTTTATTAATGCGCGTGTGAAATGAGGGTGGGTTAGCGGTTGAGGAGGTTGACTGATGGAAGCTGGTTATTGTTTGTTTTTTTTCTGATTCAGAATAGGTTTTATGTCATGATATGCTGTATCAACCATAGTTCCCTATATAGGTCAATATAGGTTTAGGAGAAAGTGTAAAATCAGATCAGGTTTACTCTAGCGATACGTACATATGTAAGTAGATGTTTCTAGGAGAAAAATGTATCATTTGATACACCTAAAAAACTCTCTAACGATAAGTACGCAAGTGAATACAGATGTGTTTTGACATATCCAGAAGAGAAAACTAACAGTATGATATGATGAACTGAAAAGTGTATTATCTGATGAACCTATAAAGACTCTAACGATGAGTACAGATGTATGTAAATATGTTCAAGATAAAAACTTTATGATTTGATGAGCCTAAAAACCCCTCTGTTGATAAGTACAAACACACACACATATATATATGTAGATATTTCCAGGATAACAACTGTATGATGCGTGTTTCTTACCAAATGTTCTACGAAATGATACCCTGTTCACATTATTTCTACACGAACCTTAATGTGGTTTTTAATCAGACTTTCTATAATGGCAACATCCTGTTTATATGGTTTACCGAGAAAATTTAAGTTTGTTTTTACAGGATTTTCTCTGTGTAGAAACAATAATATGTTAAAACTATATCGTTTACTGTTTTTATCAGATTTACTAGTAGACAATAATCTGCTAACATCACATCGTTTCTCGTATTTTTACCAGAGCATATATGTAGACAATAGTCTATTAACAACAAACTATTGAATGTTTTTACCAGATTTACTAGTAGACAATAATCTGCTAACATCACATCGTTTATAGTATTTTTACCAGAGCATATATGTAGACAATAGTCAATTAACAACAAACTGTTGAATGTTTTTACCAGATTTACTAGTAGACAACAATCTGCTAACATCACATCGTTTCTCGTATTTTTACCAGAGCATATATGTAGACAATAGTCAATTAACAACAAACTGTTGAATGTTTTTACCGGATCTAGTAGAGAACAATCTGCTTACATCACATCGTTTATAGTATTTTTACCAGAGCATATATGTAGACAATAGTTAATTAACAACAAACTGTCGAATGTTTTTACCAGACTTACTAGTAGACAACAATCTGCTAACATCACATCGTTTATAGTATTTTTACCAGAGCATATATGTAGACAATAGTCAATTAACACCAAACTATTGAATGTTTTTACCGGATTTACTAGTAGACAACAACCTGCTAACATCACATCGTTTATAGTATTTTTACCAGAGCATATATGTAGACAATAGTCAATTAACAACAAACTGTTGAATGTTTTTACCGGATTTACTAGTAGACAACAATCTGCTAACATCAGATCGTTTATAGTATTTTTACCAGAGCATATATGTAGACAATAGTCAATTAACAACAAACTGTTGAATGTTTTTACCAGATTTACTAGTAGACAACAATCTGCTAACATAGATTTGTTTAGTGTATTTAACATCCTATTCACATCACATCGTTAACTACATTTTTTCCTAGATTTTCTATGTAGACAAAGTTCTTTTTATATAGTTTACTTTGTAAACTTTAGTGTATTTTTCTTTCTTTTTTAACCAGATTTTCTACGTAGACAACAAACAACCTGTTCACATGGTTTTTATACAAAGAAGTTAAGTGTAAACGAACGTTGGCATTTCAGAGGGTTTTGTTGCCTTGGTAACCATAGAGAAGAGCAATGTATTGGTCTCTATTTTATACACGTGTTTCGAGTCGTTCTTTACCTCTGGGAGAGATATATATCCATCATTCCTCGATCCGTTTTTTTAATGCAAAATTTCGTACATATTCGTATAACTTCTGACGTCGAAAACATGCAATTTAGTTATAATGAAAGAACGTCTGTCCGTCCACCAAGAAGTTACACTTGACATAAAATTCAGTTAGCTCACATTCTTCCTTAGCGGAACCTTGTGTGGTTTAACAATAAGCTTATAACGCTAAAATTCGGGGCTCGATACTCGCAGTAGACATAGCGCAGATAGTCTGTTGTGAAGCAGTGCTCTTAAAATAAACAGTTCTTTAAGAAATGATTAAAAGAAAGAAAAAAAAGAGTAAATTTCAAAATTACGACCGAAAGTTTTAACGTAAAGACTTTTCCCGGGAGGCGATAATAGATCAATTTGTAAATAATTATGAAACTCTTAATTTTTATTTATAGAAATGTCCCTCGTAGACTTATCGTGTATGACCACGGCATTTTCGAACACTACTACCAGAAAACTTTTCACTTTGTTTTATTCTTTTATGCGCAAAGCTAACATAGTCGTCGCCAGCATCCACTGCCAACTCTTGTCTGACCAATTAGTGGGAATTGACCTATATTTTTATAATGCATCCACGGATCCAAAGTGCAGTGCGCGTTTTTGCGACAACGAGCCATAAGCCCTCTTGGATTCACAATTCAAGCACTAGGCCACACCCAGCCCGAAACTTAAAATATATTTACAAGGTGAGAAAACTTACTTAGTTAACATTACAACAATTTATTAAATACACATACCGTCTTGTAAAACATGCAAGCTTGTCTATCTTCATCCTCCCCTTGTGGACAATCAATGAAACCATCACACAGCTCGTGATCATCTATGCATCGGTACCGACTCATTCTGTCAGGGGTGGGGCAGGCAAATCTATCAGTTCCATCTTCTGCTGGTGGGCACTCTGTTGCCATAGAAATCAAAATGTTCTATGTTTTCAGTTTATATCTAAATCATTGGGCTATAGACTAGAAACTACGACAATGAATTTATAACATTAATGTTTTACTATTGGTAACCAAGATTTATATCTCCCTGCATATATTCAGTGTTTAATTTTCATTACAACTACAGGATGAAATGTATTCACTGTGTACACTAGATATCAGTGTTTTCTTTATTGATGTAATGTATAGATACACTAAATGTTTTATTTTCAATATATACAAACACCAGACATCAAAGTTTTACTAGAGATAATTAATTTTAATGTTCCACTACAGACAGTAAACACTGATATTTAGTTTTATTACAGATATCACATTTAAATATTTATATAACATTAAATATCTGTAACAAATATTTAATTATTTATATTTGCACTGTTAGAAAAAGATAAAGATAAACTTTAGGTCTCATGTGGCTTTTTAACTTTTTTTTGTACTCTACTAACACAACAATATGATTTTTTTTCATTTATCTACAATACAAGTTGTAGAAAGATCAGGTGTGTGTATATATATAATTAATTATGTTACTCTATAGAAATTAATTCGTGTATCACTGAATGAAGTTAACATCCTCATCGACGAAGCTGCTGAAATTTTATGGTTGAAGTGGTATTTCAAGTTAAATGTAGAAATTTCTTGCATGTTAATATCTGCTGGCGGTACATTAAAACATACTTTTATCCAATACCCTCAAAATTTGTATATTTTTTTCAGTAGAATTGATACACGAAGTTTCTGATGCAAATGTATAAAATAGTAAGTACCTATCAGAACTAAAAAATCCGATGTTCTACTCCCGTTGTTTAGCAGTTGAAACTAACTGAGCTTTGCTTGAATTTAATTTCGCCTAAAATGTTTGCACTTTTTTATCAACAAATACTGATGTGGTCTGAGTACACCTGTGATGTGATGAATAGCACACTATGGTTAGAACACGTCTTTGAACGTGACTGATGAAACCGTACTACTTTCACAAACTACTGAATAGCACACTATGGTTAGAACACGTCTTTGAACGTGACTGATGAAACCGTACTACTTTCACAAACTACTAAATCGCACACTGATGTGATTAGAACATACTTGTTAACGATTCGAATGAAATCGCAACACTTTCACACACTGTGAAACAGCACACATGTTGATGCAATCAACAAATGTGTGAATGCGTTTGATAAACACGTGACATGTTCAAGACCCGAAACTCGAGTGTTTTCGAATAGTCAATTCTTCTTCTTCAGGAAATGAAAAATTGTCAACTATTCGAAAGTGCTTGAGTTTTGGGTCTTTTGTTTGTTTTTAAATTCATTGCACCTTTCGTGTGTGATCCTGTGTTTCAAATCTTTTATCAGAATGGATATTTCTTACAAACTGGGATATTGTAGTACGGGACAATAACTGTGAACTTTATGATGAAAATTTAAAAATGTGTAAAAAATCACGTGATTGTTAAGCAATCTAAAGATGAAACAAAGGTGTTTCAAACACGACAGATCACAAAAAACAAGCATGTTATAAGGTAATTTTAATAAAAAATTACAATTTTTGAAAAACAGAAAACTCGTGTCTCTGCTTGATTTTATTGCATTATTTTAAACTTAACATTTAAAAACAATTTTCCAAACATTATTAAAATCAATATGGAGAATGATTTGAGAGTGGCCTATATTCTTATTATATCTTGCTCCTAATTACTCCTGAAATGTTTTTTCCCCTACAATACTGAATTAGATTATATACGAAAAAACTGTTCGAATGTTTTCTGGTTACACCTGGTGGCCCAGCGACCCACACAACATGATAGTTCTGTGTGCATTTAAGTGTGACTTCTATTCCCTAAGCGGTGGAGATCGTACTACAAGCTATACCCACAAACTGAGCTTCATAACAACTATTTGTAATTCGTATGGTAAAGAACAAACAAGACAATCGGTTAAAGTATTTATATAAATAGAAAATGTTTAGTAAAACATTCACAATGTTGTAAAACGTATAACAGAAACTTTATTGTCAACCAACACCTCCGACACTGTATCAGTGGTATGGTATATTATAACTACACTATGCGTGACTTGATTGTATAACTTGACTGTCTGACTGAAATTTTGTTTTCATTCCACACGTAAGGCTTGCGAATAGAATTTAAATCTAATAAACGAAGTGTCCCACCACTGTGTACAGCAGATAAAGAGCTTAGAACTTTCAAAGGGGGATTGATTTATATCTTACTCTGTTTCTTTTTAGGTTTAGGTGGGTTTTTTTTAGCGCAAAATGCAAAATGGGTTATCTGTGTAGTGCCCACTTCGGGGACTAAACCACAAATCTTTTTAGGTTGGTTATTTAAGAACTAATGTCTTTTAACATTTATTACCTTTTCGTATTTTTCTAAGTTTCTAAGACTTTAAGTAATATTATGACTTGGTTTGTTGTGAATTTCGCGCTAAGTTACCGAGAGCCATCTGTGCTAGCTGTTTCTAATTTAGCAGTGATAGACTAGAGGAAAGGCAGCTAGTCAACGCCATCCACCGCCAACTCTTAGGCTACATTTTTACCAGTGAATAGTGGGATTGACCGTCACATTATAATGCCCCCACGGCTGAAAGGATGAATATATATGCGGTGAAGGGGATTCGAACTCGCGACCCACAGACTGCGAGTCGAGGGACCTAACCACTAGTCCATGCCAAGCCTAACATTATTACATGGGAATACTAAAACAATTTTATTATCACTGATTTATCATAATTTTCATTAATGGTTTTAATTTCAATTATGAAATTGTTACATATACTCATGTTGTACATAAAGGTATGAAAAGGGATATTTAACGTCGAAAAGAAAGAGTGTATTTGTGTCTTGATGTCAGAGGTATATGCAGAAGAAGGACCAATATAACCAATAACTAGTGTTATCGATAAGCTACATAGTAATCTATGTCCTAGTATTAGAGATATATTCAGAATTATGGCCCATGTAATCAATCACTGTTCACGGTAAGCTACAGAGTAATCGTTGTCTTGGTATCATAGATACCTCCAGAAGTAGTGTATATAATAAAAGCCACTCTCTGTTCGTAACGTTCGCTTTTGTCGGTAACTCTGTTGGTAATGTTCAAATGGGCTCAATAGTTTGTCTCAAGAGGAAACCTTTAGATAAAGTCCCAGTTAAGTGTGGATTTTTTATAACTCTTTTTAAATTATTAATTCATCATGTTTAGAGAAATATATTAGGGTGACACGGTGGTTATATCGCTAGACTATCAGGTGGAACCTCGAGTTCAAATACAGTCTTGGTTTTATGTTAACTTTTCATCATAGTTATTTATTATCATATTTACAGCAAGTGAATATTTGGAAAAATATGAATACAATTATAGGTTAAAGTAAAGGATAATATCAAATTACATAATAAACAGAGTCGAGTGACTGCATGCGTCAAAAACAGCTTAAATATCTTTTCAGTGCTATAGATGGCGTTACAATACTATATTATTGATGTTTTTCATCTTCAGTAGGAAATGTTTACAAATTTATAAGTATTTTTAATAAAAAGTTATACGTTTGTGAATTTGCCCTTCACCATAAAATTCATTGCCTTTGAAATTACAATTAATAAATCGCAGGTTTAGACATTTGACAGTGTAGAAATATTTCTTCGATAATCAGTTTTTTTCGCATGGTTCAATCTATAAGGCTTTATCAAGAAGAAGATTTGAACATAACATAAAAAATAATACAAGAGTCAAAATTATAATCGAGGACAACTTACAAGAGATGACCAAATATACAAAAAAAATTATATTTTTGGGAAATACTAGAAAAGAATAGACATTCTCCATACATACATTGTTAGCAAAATATAATTAATTTTTAGAAAACACATTCATAAAACATTTACTTAGATTTAATTTTCGGAATAAAACTTAATCAACATTTACCGTCATATGACGGGTATTCAGCTAGTACTCATATAATCAACTACTGTTCACGGTAAATAACAGAGTAACTTGTATTCTGGTATCAGAGATATTTACAGAAATAGGACCCGTATAATTAACCAGGCCCGGCATGGCCAGTTGGTTAGGGCGGTCGACTCGCAATCTGCGTGTCGCGGGTTCGAATCTCCGTCTCACCAAACATGCTCGCCTTTTCAACCGTACTATTCGTTGGTAAAAAGAGTAGCCCAAGAGCTGGCGGTGGGTGGTGATGACTAGCTGCCTTCCCTCTAGTCTTACTCTGCTAAATTAGCGCAGATAGCCCTCGTGTAGCTTTGCGCGAAATCACAAAAAAAATAATAATTAACCACTGTCACTGTAAGCTACAGAGTAATCTGTGTTCTATCTGCAGAAGTAGGACTCGTATAATCAACCACCTCTCACAATAAGCCGCAGGATAATCTATGTCCTGGTATCAGAGATATCTGCAGAAGTAGGACTCGTATAATCAACCACTTCTCACAATAAGCCGCAGGATAATCTATGTCCTGGTATCAGAGATATCTGCAGAAGTAGGACTCGTATAATCAACCACTTCTCACAATAAGCCGCAGGATAATCTATGTCCTGGTATCAGAGATATCTGCAGAAGTAGGACACATATAACAAACCGGTATTCGTCGTATAATACACGCGTGCAAATGCAGAAAACGTGGTAGTGTAAAACTTTATGCGAAAACAGTATTTTGTTAGCCTAGTTTTCTAATCTAGTAACATCCATATTGTGTCTTGGAACACTCTTTCCTTCTTGTTATTGCTAGGGGCTGTAATTCATGAGATCTCTAACGTATGTAATTCAACTAGAAAATACACCCAATACAACGTTCGCTCCAACCAACATAAATAGAAACGATTTACAGAATTCACACAACTAATACGAACAATTACCACCAAGATCTTGAACATTGAAGACTTAATTCAGCTATGGATAGAACCAGTAGAACAATAATTTATGATTAT